ATCTTATAATCATTAAGGAATCTCTAGTAGATAGTAGGTAAGGAGCTGGGCTGCCAACCCAAAGACATGCAGTTTGAATCCACTAACTACTCCATGAGAAGGAAAAGGGCAAATGCCTCCCATGCTTTTTACTACTTCTGAAACTTGGCTGGAAGGCCAGAAATAAGTTGGTTCCAACACGAGAGTAAATAACAACAACTAAAATCAGTAATATCTTAAATTCAGTGAAATGTATATTTCAAACATTGTGCAAGATTCTGAGATTACAAATCTTAAACACACATAAGTACACGCTCATGTTATACTGGAATGGAAAATCAGTGATAACAGAATTTCGGAGGAAAATTGCATATAATGTAGTTTACAAGAGAGGAATAGTAACATCTTTAGTTTTCACCTATAAATCACCTGTTATGCATTTGAGAGCTACACAATGAATAAGAGATGAATTTATGCCTTTGAGTTGTCGTGCTGGAGAAAAGTCTTGAGCATACCATGGACCAACAAGAAAACAAATGTCTGTCTAGGAGAGGATGATACCAAGTTTCTCCTTGGAGGCTAGGATTTTGAAACTCTAACCTACATACTGTGTGTATATGGCCAGGAGGAACCAGTCCTTGGAGAAGGACATGATGCTCAGAAGGATGGAGGGACAGCACAGGAAAGGAAGACCACAGATGAGATGGATTAATACAGTAATTCGGGCAATGGGAGTAGGTGTGTCTGAGTCAGGGAGACTGGCTCAGGACAGGGCAGGCTTCAGAGCTGTTGTACATAGGGTCACTATGAGTTTCAAGTGACTCAACAGCACATTACAACAGTAACAACATTTTGTTATACATATCATGGAAAACCTTTGAATTCCCTGCTGTAGAGTTGGTTCCAACTCAAAGGACCTTCTATTAGGTTTCCTAGGCTGTAAACCTTTAGAGGAGAGGTTGTCCATCTCTCTCCCACGAAGCTGCCAGTAAATCCAAACAAACTTTCAGGTTAGTAGCCCAATATATAATTTGTGGTGGTTGTTGTTGTTGTTAAGTGCCATTGAGTCATAGATGATTCATAGTGAGCCTATGAACGAAAGATTTGAACACTTGTATAACTTTTATTGTTTCTCCAAGTTCCTAGAGTTCTGGAGGCAAGCTATTTATTTCCATGCCCAATTTTACACTACTTAAGTAAATAGCAGTACATTAACATTGAGGTTCATACACTTTGTATGGAATATTTTTATGCTCATTTCTTTTGATATTGCAATAGTGTTGTTGTTTTTGTGTATTATTAAATCGGATCCTACCCATAGCTGACCCTTCATCAGGTTTTCAGAGGCAATTAACCCAGTTATTGATCTTCCTTCCCCTGCGATTGGAGCAGTAATACACTAATATCTTCAAATCTAGCATTGTTGTCACTATGGAGTTGGAACAGACTCATAGCTGACCCTCCTACAGGTTTTCAGAGGCTGTAAATCTCATGGGAGGAGATTGCCCATCTTTCTCCTAAGGAGCAGCCAATGAATTTGAACTATGTGCCTTTGGATTGGCAGCACAATTCCTTGCCACTAAATCACCAGAGCTCCTCAAAGCCTAGTATTAGAAACATACATGAATGCACATTTATTTATTCAATTTAACAAATGTTTACAAAGCCTGTACACTGTCCAGCACTCTTCTGGATGCTGGAGTTACATACTGTTGAGAGAAAAGAGAAAATTCCCTTTTTTGAAAGAGCTCTTAGAAGGGTGATCTGGTATTAAGTGCTAATAAAACGGGATGATAAGTAATAGGAAGAGATTAAACTTAAAGTGGTCAGAGGAGGTATCCTTAAGGTATAACATTTCATCAAATACCTGATGGAGGTGAAGGAAAAAGCCATGTGGTTTTCTTGGGAAAGAACGTTCTAGGCACAGGAACAAGTGCAGAGGCCCCGAGGTCTGCTTATATATTTGCACCATAAACTCTAGTTTTAATCTGATAACTCAGATTCTATTCAGAAGCTAACCTATCAATATTTTACCATTTACACAGCAACTCAAAAGAGTGTCAATGACAAACTCATAATAAGACTCACATTCTTACTGTCTTGGAGTCAATTCTGATTCACAGCAACCCTGGGTTTCCAGGACAACTGCCCAGCTTTCTCCTGTAGAGCCACTGGTGGATTTGCAGTGCCAAAAATGTGCAATCTTTGAGTTAGCTGTACATCTTGCTCCCTACCTTCATGAAAATATCAGGATTTCTAACTTCTGATATTTTCTCAATTCTAAAGCATACTTAGCATGTTGAGATTAATCTTACAATCAATGGGTTCTTTTAATGCAGTTTCCTTTTTGCCAAAATTTGCTATTAAATTGATTATATTGTCTGAGAATTGAATTTAGCCTTAGAATTAAGGAAATACGATAATGGCATGTACACATTCACAGTCATTTAGCAGCATTGTTAAAGTTGTGGGGCAACTATATGTCTTACAATACTTAATTGAAATCCCCAGTGAATTCTAAATAATATGGTTATTTAAGTTTATGAATACCAAACTTTAGTAACCCTTCAAAAGCATCAAATGGCTCTTAATTGTACATTAAAGCTATGAAATTTAGTGTCATTTTCCCACAGAATGTAACAAACAGGAAGCTTTGCATTTGTAGGTCTGTTTGAGGTTTAACAGGAAGATTTTGTTTACCCATCAGTAGCACAAACTCTTCAGTACTTCAGAATGTTTGTTGAGGGAACAGATATGAACAATATTAAGTCCTCCTGCATCTATTTATAGGACTAAGATAATAAAGAATTACTGCCAACTCAAAAAGCATGCAGTTCAAATTCACTAGCTTCTCTTTGGGAGGAAGATGAGAAGTATCCTCCTGTGAGATTTGTGGCCTCTGAAAACTCACTGTAGTGTCAGCAATGAGTTTGTTCTGACTCAACAGCAATGAGTTATTGTTGTTGTGAAAGAATTTATAGAACATAGTGACTTTCTGGAAGAATGAGAGGGGAAAGTTAAGGACAATTCACAGATTATCTGTTTAAATGACTGGGTACATTTTATTCTGACCTTTGTTCCAATCAGAATGATCTCTTTACTCTGGTCTATACCTTTGCCACCATGAGTCAGGGACTATTTTATGACAGTGGATATATTATGTCTTCACAACACCTAACAACAATAATATTTTTCTTTTGCCACTCCCTGCACTGCCTTAAGTAGCTTCCTTTCTGTTTAGCCATGTTATTCATCCTTCAGCGTCCAGTTCAAACCCTTATCTTTTTCTGGGAAGTTTCTTTTAGTCCATACTAGCTGACTTTGACCCACAGAAAGAAATAATAGGCAAAGGTCAAGGTTCACTTTGATTGCCCCTCCTTATCACTCCCACTTAACCCTTTTGCTACTGTAACCATTTATAAATATAATAAGAAGTGAATGAAATTTGACTTTTATACTTGAAGACTGAACCTAGTTATTACCATCTTTGACTTTGCTTAAGTCAGACATTCTTTTTTTTTCCTTGTGTATCTTTGAGTCGGATCCAACTGGCACAGGAGGAGATTGCCCCTCCTTATCCAGTGGAGCATCTAGTAGAGGCAAACAGTGTGCCTTTGGGATTGAAGTGCAGCTTATTGCTACTAGGCCACTAGAGCTCCCTAGGTCAGACATTCTTAATCCTCATAACAATGAAGGAACCAATATTCAACTCTGAATTTGCCTACTCTGTGTTGACACCTGTCATTAATGACCAAAAAAAATGAAATAATCAGTATGTCTTCATTTATGTGACCAGGCTATCTGGATAGGAAGATTTCAGCCTTGCAAAGACATTGTGAATTCCCGCACCCTCCCCATCAGTAATGATGGGCTACACAGAACTTTTTCTGTTGTTCTTGTTGTTATGTGCCATTGAGTTGCCTATGACTCACAGTGACCCCATGTGCAATAGCTCTGAACCCTGCTTTATCTTGAGCAAACCTCATTGTCTCTGATACACCTACCCACATTACCCCAGTCACTGAGTCAACCCATCTCATTGAGGGTCTTACTCTCTTGCGCTGTCCCTCCACCCTTCCAAGCATGATGTCCCTCTCCAAGGATTGGACCCTCCTGGCCATGTGCCCAAAGTATGTTGATTGTTGTTGTTGTTGTTGTTGTTGTTGTTATATGCTGTCAAGTCGCTTAGCAACCCTATGTACAACAGCTCTGAACCCTGCTCTATCCTGAGTCAAAATTATTGTCTCTGACACACCTACCTCCATTAACCCAGTCATTAGTCAATCCATCTCATCCAGGATCTTCTTTGTTTGCACTGTCCCTCCATCCTCCCAAGCATGATATCCTTCTCCAAGGACTGGTCCCTCCTTGCAACATGCACAAAGTATACCAGACAAAACTTCAGAATCCTTGCCTCCATGGAGCAGCCTGGTTTCACCCTCTCAAGGATAAACATGCTTGTTCTCCTGACAGTCTATGGAATATTCAGTACTCTTCTCCAGCACCACAGCTCAAAGGCATCAATTCTTCTATTATCTCTAGTCGTTTTCCAACATTCTGATGCATAGCACGTAATTGTGAAGACCATGGCCTGGATCAGGTGTACCTTAGTCTCCAGACTAACATCGTTTGTCTTCAGTACTCTGGAGAGGTCTCTGACAGCATACTTTCCTAAGGCAATTTATTTTTTTTTAATTTCCTGGCTGCTGGTACCAAGAGTGTTGATTGTGGAGCCAAGCAATCTGAAACTGTTAACAGTCTCTGTCTCTTCACTATCATGATGCTGCCAAACATCTCAGTGGTGAGAATATTTGCTTTCTTGATGTTGAGCTTCAATCCATATTGAAGGATTTTCCCAATGCAATCCTCTTTCTACAATGATATACATATTCTGTTTTAAAACAGAGTTTTACAGATCTGACATTTGGATCATAGCCACACACTTGACCTCATTAGCATGTATACTATCATATAATATCATACTGAGCTTTCAAAACATTGAATTTTTCTCTCTGTAAAAGGTTTGAACCATGAAATAGCAATTGATGTTCCATTCCTGCCCATATACTGTCCCAAAGATGTCCAAACATCACAAATAGATACGTTATTAAACTGCATGAATTACAGCTGTGTGTTTCCACCAGAAGCGACTGGAAATGACCAATGGCCAAACCCAAGGGAAGTTGCAGGTAAGATAGTCTTAATGATAAATGTAGTGATTATTCTTCTCATTCTGAAAATAAAATTAATAAATACTGTGAACCAACCTAACCTTAAGATTTTATTATAGTCCTATCCTTAAATTTAATATAGTTTAATTAATGTGTTATTTGGTAAATATATCCCAAGATTGATAAGTAAGGATACAGTTTTTAATTGAATTTAATTTCAGGCAAACCCTGAAAAATAATCCTATTGCAATGCATTTCTACATTTATGTATTTCATTAGACTTAAGTGATCTACTGAACATATACTTTGCAAATGGAGCAGAATAAATACTATTCTTCTATCCTCTTAACTCAGGCAAGACAATTTGTCCTTTTTCCTTATAATTGTGTAAGATCATAATATCCCTATAATATAGTAGAGTATGATAATTTTTTCTTAAAATGTTGCTGGCTTTTGTTTTGTTGGAGGGTTTAGTGCCAAAATCTGGGAGTCCATAGCCTTTATATTCACTTGCATATGTAAGAACTTTCGAAAGATGTTATTGTTCCATGTTTCAGCATTTCAACACCTTCTTTCCCAGACGTTTTGGCCTCTTGCTTCTCAGACTTTTTACCTTGCACCAGGTGTGCTAGTCAGTGCTACTGCCTTTAAATACTTTCAGCAAAAGCCGTCCCAATCCTGAGAATGCCCCAAATTGGTTAAAATAGAGGCAAGTCCTTGTGTCACGTAGAGAGTCACCAGAAAGACCAAAGCACATGACTGTGATTCTTTTTTTAAAAAAATATATATTTATTTATTTATTTATTCATTCATTCATTCATTCATTCATTTATTTATTTTTCATTTCAATGAACATCTACACAGATTTTGGAATTCCATTCATTCATTGTTGCACACTTCTCCCCGCCCACCCCCCACCCCTGTTTGCTCCTCTCTTTCAACAACAAAGGAAAAACTCCCTCATTGGTACACAATCCCCCCCGCACATCCCCCAACCCCTCATTCTGCAACCCTCATTCCGTACTCTTACGATAAACATAATGCCGTAAATATAATACTTTTAAACTATTCTTTCCCCCATAGACTTCAATGACGTAAACACATTTCATCCAGTTTTTCTCACTCTTACCCCGACCCCGATGTCAGCCTCATTCTACAACAGTGACACCATATAGCATTTGTCCCTTTGTGACTGAGATACCTCACTCAGCATAATGTCTTCCAGGGTCACCCATTTTGAATAATACTGCGTGAGTTCCTTGTTTTTCAATGCAGCATACTATTCCATTGTGTGAATATACCACAGCTTCTCTACCCATTCGTTTGTTGATGGGCATTTAGGTTGTTTCCAACTCCTTGCTATTGTAAACAAAGCCGTGATAAACATGGGTA